GATTTTGTTGTAGTATTACTGGGCAAAGGGTATACATTGTTAGGTTACTTTTTTTTTTTTTTGGTGAGGCAGTTGGGGTTAAGTGACTTGCGCAGGGTTACACAGCTAGTAAGTGTCAAGTGTCTGGTCTGAGACTGGATTTGAACTCAAGTCCTTCTGACCACAGGGCTGGTGCTCTATTCACTGTACCACCTACCTGCCCCTGTTAGGTTACTTTTAAGACATGATTTTGAATTTTTTTCCTGACTTGCTGTACCAAGGCACAGTTATACCAATAGTTGCATAATTAGTGTGTTTGCCAAAATGCTTCCAACAAGTGTCATTCTACTTTTTGTCATCTTTGCCAATCTCATGCATTAGATATAGAAGAACATGAGAGTTGCTTTTAATGTATTTCTCTAATTCTTAGTTATTTGACAGATTGTTTCATTTATTTGTTGATAGCAGCTAGGATTTCTTCCCTTAAGAACTTAAGAGTATGTATTAATGATTAAAGCATAAGAAGACTGGAAAAGTTTGGATAATTATGTGACATTCCAATTTTACAAAAGAGGAAAATGAGGCTTAAAGAAATTAAGTAAATTGCCAAGGCCATGTCACTCTAGGCAAAAAATCAGTGTTAGAAGCTATGTCTACTGAATTAAGCCATTGCTGCTTCATGATGCTGATAAATGATTTCAGTTATCTTGTCCATTCATTTGGAAGAGAAAGTGACTGGATGCTAAAAGGAGGGAGGGTGTTGACAGAGCTCAAGAAGCATGAAGATATAGGGACCCCAATTTGAACCATGTTTGTGCAAATAGTGAAAAAACTATTCCAACAAAAGTGGGAGAATAGGCTGAATATGGAGAACAGAGTATATAGATGAAATGTAAGAGAAATGAAACATAAATCGTGAATGTAAGGAACCAGGAAGATGATGGCATCATTGAAATTGATGAGGAAACATTAAAAGCTATTTGAGTCTTAGAAAGATGCATTTTTTTTATATGACTTGTCATTATGGAACCTATATTGTGATCTTGGCCTTCCTTCCTAAATCATACACTTTAGAATTGTGTGGTAGATTGAGATCTTCCTCATGGGGCCTGTAGTTTCTAGATAATTCTAAAAAACAAAACAAAGCCCAACACTATTACATTTTAGAAAATGTGGACACTTTCTTATGTCCAGGCTTAATGGTAATTCTCAAATGATTTCTCAAAGATTATTTAGAATGGTTCTGCCATGATCACATCAGTTTCATAGGATTAAATCCAACTTCCTGCTTACATATTGCCAAGATATCCTTGTTATTTAGTGAATAAAGTTGAGATCCAGTGCCTTCCATGTTCTAACACCAAAGAGGTTTCCATCTTTAATTCCTAGCGTACCACCACACGAATCTTGTAGTCCAGTCAAGCAGACTTAATTGTCATGCCTCAAATGCACCTCAATGCAATTCTACCATATCTTTACTTATGTAGTTTCTTCTACCTGGAATGTCTGCCTTACCTTCTCTGCTGTTCAAATCTTTATTTTTCCTTATCCCATTTAAGGATCTTGACTCTGAGGTCTCTTTGATGGTGGTGAGTCCCTGTCTAGAACTGCCATATCATAAGAAGCTCTGGCTACACTCTTCATTTCAAGTCTGGCTCACTCTTTGTTCTGCCCCACCTCCACACAGGCTGTCTTAGTCGAGGTGGTAATGGAATCCCTCAGCTCCCACTCTCTAGTTCTCCTTTATTCATTATGTTCCCCAATCATAATGTAAGTTCCTTGAGACTAGGGACCACTTTGTTGTCTAGTTTTTGTATTGCCATAGATTAGCAGAGGACCTGGCATATGATGCACTTATTAAATGTCTCATCTTCCTACTCCCTCTCCATATACACATACAAATATATGTGTATGTATATCTATGTGTATATATACACATGTATTATAGATATACACACATACTATATATGTGCACATATAGGCATGTGTGTGTGTGTCTGTATCCTCTGTCTAAGGCTAGGTTACTTCTTCATCAAGACTCCTCTAACATTCTTTTATATATGTACACATATAGACCTGTGTGTGTGTGTGTGTGTGTGTGTGTGTGTGTGTGTGTCCTTTATCTAAGGCCAGGTTACTTCTTTGTCAAGCCTCCTCTAACATTCTTCCAGCTGGAAGTGGTCTTGCCACTCTAATTTCCCATAGTATGGAGCCACACAGCTCTTATAGAACTTCCTTTGGTTTCGTTTGTGAATATCTCTTCCAGTCCATTCCACTGAATTATGAACCCTAGGAGGCAGAAACTGTCTTTTCTCCACAGAAAGAGAGGCTACATTGTGTAGTATTAGGACAGAAGACCTATATTCAAGTCCTTCTGTTGGCACATTCTGGATGTCTAACCTCACCAAGCCCATTTAGCATCTCAGGGCTCTGGGCAGCTCTCTGCAACCAAATAGCAGTGAAGGTGCCCGCCCTGCCTTGAAAAAGTAAGAGTAGGTTCTTCACCTGCAGCTCCATTTACCTTTGGATTCCAAGTCCCTATCCCTATCATCATCTTTTTTCCCTAACCATTTCTGTATTCCTATCTATCCCTATACTCATTCTTATCTCTATCTCAATGTCTATCCCTATCCCCCTCCCGATCCTGTTCCTATGCCCATCCCAACCCCATCCCATCTCTATCACCCTTATCCCTGACCTCATTTACATCCCAAGCCATAACCAGATTCCTATGCCCCACAGCAACTAGATGTGGAATTTGTGGATCAATATTGATTGAGTGAATAGATCTTAGATGGTTAACTAAAGAGCAGAGAGCCCAGAGATGAAGCTTTAGTAGGTACAAACCAGCTAGTTAGGAAACAGTTTTGAAAGTTGGAGAGGAAAAAGATGGAATAACATGAAAATGACATAATCCTTTTGGTTGAACAATTTTCAGACTGAGGACCTGCTTAATAAAACAAAACAATATTCAACCACATTTGAAGAGAATATGGAAACTAAGAAAGTGGAAAAAACAGCAAAAGAAAAATTATCGGCCCCAGATCATTCTCATTCAGTAAGTCAGCCTGATTCTTGAATCAAATGAAGAGTTCAGTCTGCTCTAATTTCCTCCTCAAGTTGAATGTACAAATTCTATCATGGAATTCTCCAGCTATCTTCCTGATGAATTTCACCATTACCAATGTCAGAGTTTGGTAGAAGGGGGAAGCATATCAAGATTCCTTTGGGAAAAGAGAGAGGAATCACTCTACTACACCATCTTCAGATTTGGCTCTTCCATTTACTAGCTCTGTGGAAGCTTAGACAAGTCACTTTACTACACAGTCTCCTTTTTAATCTCATATGTAAGGTAGAGATTAAAAAGGAGAACTACTGTGAGAAGTATACTCTTCCCTTTTGCACATAAATTCAACTGAGGAGAAATGCTCTGGAGACATATTGGACAAACTAATTAAAAAAGCACTCTAAATATATTGAAGAGGATGAGGACCACATACCAATTAATGGGGTTTCAAAAGGGGTTTTTGCTCTGTCAGAACAAAAGTCTCACAACAGAGAAGGGAGAGATGGAGCCTGTTTTGACTTTGGCAAGGAATTTGACAAGGGCATTTGGAGCAATGAATGGTAGATGCCAAGAATAGAAAAGATGATGAAAATAAGGGTGGAGTGGAGCAGGGAAGCTGTCACAAAAATCTGTTCTTTTAGTCACTGATATGGATTAAAGCAAAGTAACTTGCTTATCAGATTTGTAGTTGACTTATACTGAGAAAAGAGATACCTAACAAATCAGAGGATATTGGGATCCCAAAAGATCAGGCTAGTATAGTATTTCTGAATCTTATGAAAATGAAGTTGAATCAGTTTAAATGTAATATTAAATCCTTAGCTTCAAAAGCACAAATACAGGAAAGTTCACATTCTTTACTCATCTTGTAAATTCTTTTTTTTTTCTTTTTTCTTGTTTTCAAGATAAATTTTCTGTGTTTCTGTAACTTTATACTCTCATATAAATAAAATACAAAAGTTTAGCTTTTCCTTTCCCCTTTAAAATTTGGCTTTATTTATTTATCAGTGACCTCTAACCTGTGTGCTTAGAAGAATGTAAGCTATTACCTTGAAATAAGCTGAATTCATTTTAGCACTAAATTTTCTGAAGTCCAATATTATGGATGAATATCTTTTATTTGAATGTTTTTAAATTAATACATATGTCTATGTCTATCTATGTGTCTATCTAATCTAGTGTCTATCTATCATCTATAATTGTGGGCAAATAATTTGGAGAAAGCTTCTGTCTTAGCTATACATGATAGCCAATTTTTATAGCAGTCTCACTAGAAAACATTTTCTATCCTGGGTGCCATCAATTACCTGCACTTGTTTTGTATTGTGAATCTGAGAACTGGTAGAGTATCACTGTCTTTGTTAATAGTAAGTAATTTGGTTCAGCCTTACAGGGCTAGGGTCTGGAAGAGTGAATATTTGGTGAATGAGCAATAGCTAAAAAGCAGATGATGCATGTCAGTGGCTGGTGTTTCTTTGCCTGCTTATGATAAGCTAAGCACCATTATTATGATGATCAGTTGGGGTTAGGTGGATCAAAATTTTTTGCAGACTGAATCATTGCGTTTTGCTGCCGTTGCAGGTAGCTTATATTTCCTTAATCACATTACAGATGGTTAGTCCTAGAAGGAACCTCAGAGTTCATCTATTTCAGCCCACCCATTTTATAGGTGAGAAGAATGAGGCCTAGAGAAGACATTCAGCTAGTCAGCTACCCAGCTAAGACTTCAGGTCTGCTGGCCCTAAATCTGGTGCTCTAGGTTCTTCACCATACATGAGGTGTAGTTGTTGCTTAGCAGTAGGAGCCAATTAACAGCTACTAGTGTCTCTTGCTAATACTAGTAAGACAATTATATTGTTATACTCACTGAATTATTCATATTCTTAGATGCCAGGATCAAAAAAAGAACAGCAACAACAAGAACAAGAAGCAATAATAGTAGAAGCAGAAGCAGAAGCAGAAGCAGAAGAAGAAGAAGAAGAAGAAGAAAGAAGAAGAAGAAGAAGAAGAGAAAGAGATTAGTAGAGACAAATCTACAGTTACTAGGGCTCAAAAGATGCTATCCATGTTCTGGTAAGATATGTGCTTTTGTATACAGATAAAAAAAATTCTTAATGAACAAAAAAAATCATTTTTTTCTGATGGGTTATACCTGTTTGGTTACCATCTTGTTGCTTTTTTTTTTTTTTTTTGCTTTTTGGTGAGGCAATCAGGGTTAAGTGACTTGCCCTGGGTCACACAAGCTAGTAAGTGTCAAGTGTCTGAGGCTAGATGAGGACCTGAGTTCAAATCTAAGACTCCAAGACCAGAGCTCTATCCACTGTGCCACCTAGCTTCCCCCATTTTTCCTTTATGTTAGAGAACCTCATTATTCATAAAAGGACTCTCAGGTGTTCACAACCTCCTCAAATGGGTGCTAGCATAAAGGAGAGGGGTCAAACTCATGGCCTGTGGGTGTGACCCATGGGGAGGAATCCATTTCTATTTGAGTTTGCCAACACTGGCAAAGACGAAAGAGTACAGGACATAGACTCTGAGAATCTAGGTCAAATCATGACTCTACCGCTTCTTCTTGTGTGACTTTAGTCAAGTAATTTCAGATCAATGGATTTCATATTTCTCATCCATAAAAAGAAGGGGTCATATCAGTTGACATAGCCACTGTTACTTCCAAATATAACTCAATGATCCTACACTCCTTAGAAGGCAAATCATATATTAGTTGTGGTTGAGGTAGAGGAGAAAGGGATAGAGAGATGCTACTGTGCCATTTACATATATAGACACATATTTCCCTTAATTGGCTTTTATATCATTACTTTTACAGATAAGCCAGATTAGCTCCTGCCCCTTCCCTTGTACAAATGCTGAGATAATATGTGTGTATGTATGTGCATATGTGTATATATGTATATGAGTATATATGTATATAAGGTAGACATATTCTACAAAATACACGACTTCAGACTCCTTTGACATGTGGCTTTGTCTTTCTTTGAGAACTGAAATTCATGAATTTTTTTATAGTGTGTTTTAAGCAACTTTTTGCATTATAGTAGTATTTATTTTTATGTTTTATTAACTATTTTTCTCCCAAACTTTGGATGATTCTAGCAATATCAAAGGATTCTGTGGCCTGAACTTATTTCATTTTAAAAAACGTGAATGACCAAAGAAAGTATATAAGCTGGAAAACTATGGACAAAAGGTAAATTTCCATTATGTTAAACTTGACATGAAGATTTAACTGTGTATATTTTCCCATTTTAATTACTAAAGGATGAGTCTCCATTAGGTAGGCTCCAGTTCAATTTATTTTGGCCAATTAAAGTTATTGAGCACACTTTTGGAGGTAGATAGTTTCCCTCTCATCTTGTCTTGCTTAGCCTCTTGTAACAGGTTAAATTATTTTAGTATTAATGCATTCCCCTACAAATATATGTGAAGATATATTAAGCATTTTGCATATTTTAGAGCAATTTTCTTTCAAAAAGAATTCAAAGTATTTCTACTGCAAAAAATAAAATTTCTCTCTGTTACAAAGCTCTCAACAAATTTCTTGTTCTCATGTGCATGACTGACATGCAGATCATCCACAGAGATAAAGGTAAGAGAAGAGAGTAAGAGGATGGGAGATAATCTACACAGTAGCCTTGAAAAGCAAAATTAGGACACACAAATATGCTGTCAGATGAGGGGCTTTTGGAACAAATGCTCTCAAAGGCTCCTTTGAGTGTTGACCTGATCGACTATGGTTATATTAACAAAAGGCAATATAAGCTTTTAAATACAGTCTATCTTGACTTCTAGCTATTGGATAGTGCCAATCATCCCTTTGGTACTCCGGTGCAATTGATATCAGAGTGGACAGAAACACAAGTTGGTATGTGGTTATCAGGATTTGGAATGAAAACATATATGATGGAATTTGAATTAAAAAATATGAGAGGTGAATGCCTCCTAACACTCGACACTAACCAGCTAAAAGTAAGCTTTAACGTTGGCTTTTTATCAGACACCATTAGAGAATAACATTATAATAACCTATTTTTAGGAGAGCATGGGTGCAAAATGTATAGTACAAGTAATGTGATATCTATGTATGTTCTATTCTCCAACCTTATTTACTTACCCTTTCCTCCTAACATCATTTCCTCATATCCAAGGAAGTCCGTTTCCTCCTTTTTAAATGTAGTGCCAAGAAATGAGCTTTTTTTCTTTTTCTTTTTTTTTTGTGAGGCAATTGGAGTTAAGTGACTTGCCCAGGGTTACACAGCTAGTAAGTGTCATGTGTCTGAACCTGCATTTGAACTCAGGTCCTCCTGAGTCCAGGTCTGGTGCTCTATTCACTGCGCCACCTAGCTGCCCCTAAGAAATGCTTATTTTTGAGTGTTATTTGTTAAAGCTCTTATTTTTAGTGTACCTGCCATGTGGTCATTCTTTTTTAGACTCTGTATAAACAAATACTGGTAAGTAGACAAAGCAGTATTATATTTTGATAAGTTAGATCAAATTTCACTGAGATTTACAAACATTAATTATGGAAAATGTCGAAGTCCCATTTCATTTGTAGTAATAAAATGTTGCTTTTTTAAAAATAAGCTTTAAATAGCAATACCTAGTTAGATCCTATGTCATTGACTTTAGAAGAACTTGATCAGAGGAACATAACTGGTTACACAAAGGGAAACCAGAAAAACTCCACCTGGATTGTTCAGTTCTCACCTAAGATAATATTATTCTGAGAACTTTTTAAGTATAGCTCCCCTCACAGCATATTTCTAGAATTTCTCTAAGATATATTACGTGATTTGATAAGTCCATTTAAGCTGTAAATCTCTGATACTCTGACCCTCTAGTTTGAAGTCAAATGAATCTGATGTGCAGTATCTGTTAATTAAAATTGAAAAAAAAAACATTTTTAGACTATTCCAAAAGCGAAAGAGGCTCCTAGCCTCTAAAAAAAAAATAATAAATGCATGAGAAATTGTATTTCTACATGTAATTAGGATATAAGAAGCCCCAACTCTCTTTTCAGAATGTTGAGCTATGATGCTAGTTCCTTAATTTATTTTAGGGTTGTACAATGTAATATTTTACTTCATTCAGACCTAGAAATGTCTAAACATCTACCTGTCCTCACAACCTAAAAATTGGGCCTAGTTCAATACAAAAAATGGGATGTGGTGGAGATGGGGAGCAGCCTTGTTCCAGCAAAGACCATGTGGGGACTATGTGTATCTTACCATCAATGGAAAAAATTCTGGACTTGAAGGGCTTTCTTTAATGCTGAAAGGCCTGGCTTGAGCCAGAAAAGCAAAGCTGGATTGTTTCACTTTATTTTGATTCCCAAAGTTGTCCTGGGTTTTTTGCCTTATGTCCATTGTTTGTTAACCTAAAAACATTATGAAAGAAGTTCAAGAGGGAATGCACACCTTCTATAATTCCCCAAACCTCCCATCAAAAAATAAATTAGCTGTTTGGGATATTGTTTTGTTTTGTTTTTAACCATTAGGGCCAACAATTGTCTAGCCTCACAGAAGGAACAAAACTGATCTTTACATGTAGCTTGGCGATTCAGTCCCATTACTTTGCCACACTTTGTGTACAGCATTTTATCTCTTCATCCAAACTTTAAATTTTATGTTGTAAAGCAGCATCACATTTTCCTTCCTTTCTTCTCCCCTGTCTGCAGTTTCCATTTTAAACAGTAATTAACTTTTAAAGCAAGAGTTCTTAACTTGGGATCCTTGAACTTAGCTTTAAAAATATATATTGACTCCATTTCAGGATAGTTGAATTCCTTTATATAATACAACATATTTTAATTTATGAATTTAAAAACATTATTTGAATAAGTGGTCCATCTATAGGCTTCAGTAGATTGCCAAACGGGTTTATGACACAAAAAAGGTTGAGTCCCTCCTTTAAAGTTAGGTAACATTTTGTCTCTTTCTTGCCCTAGCTTCTAACCTAAAAAGTCAAGTTAGAGAAAATATTTCTTGAGAAATATGATTTGGTCTCTAATTTGGGAGTTTATTTTTTTTCCTGTTGCTATACCTGATTATTTCAGTGTAGATATAGAAACTCTCTCTGCACTTAGACTATATAATATAAGTTCATTCCCCTTCCTTTCTCCCCCACCTTTTTTAAACCACAGAACAATCTGTTTTCAGCCATAGATGCAAGATATATTCCTATGGAATATTTTCCTAAGGTTATAAAATCTGGGTTCCTCAGAAAGGATCCCAACGAAGTTTCATTTTCAGGTTCACCATGTAAAGAATTAGAAAATCTATTGATTTGAATCAATAAATGTAAAATTACACTTTCAATTTTCTTTCCAAAGTGCCTCGGTGTCTACAAGAGGAAACACCGCAAGAAAATACTTAAGCGTATTGAGAGACTTCAAATCCTAGAAGATGCAATAAAGAATTTTAACAACGAAATTTATAATAGAGAAGACAAATGGAAAATATGACAAACAGAAAAATAGAATCAGCAGTATAATATTTATTTTAATTTTAACCATTCCACTTTCACCCAAATATTGTTTTAGCAGAGGATAAGTCTACATAAGTCCAATACTTTTAATAATATAGATGAAATAATAATATGCAATATACTATGTTTCTAAATAAACTGATTATAACATACTCATGTGCTCTCCTTTTTATGGGCTTTAGATCTGAAATTTCATCAGTGTGTGTGAAAGGCATAGTGCAAAAAGCAAACCTGTCCTCCCCTAATCTAACAGAGATTTTCAGTCTTTTTCAATCATGTCTGAACTTTGTGACCGCTCTCTATAACGGCTTTGGAAAACTTGCCTTGAACATAAAGTTGTTACTTGCTTATAGTCATAGAGTATTTAATATATGTTAGATGCAGGACCTGAATCTTGGTCTTCTTCTCCTCAAGTCCAATTCTCTCTCCACGTTGCCATGTTAATTTTGCTTCAGAATCTATATGTGAGCAAAAGAAATAAATGCATACATTTATACACATTATAGATTTTCTATGATAAAAAGTATGTATATATTGTCCATGAGAACCTCCTCTTCTTCATCTCCTTCATTAACTACTTCTACTACCATAGCTTCTCTATAGTTTTTTGTGTCATAATTCAACCCTAACCCTAATTGCGCTCATGAGCTCTTAAATAGTTTTACTTTCATCAGCTTCTGTTAAAGAATTCAGTTAATTTTCCATCAAAGTATTTAATTAAACAACCTCATAAAATTCCTCCATAAACTCTCAGCTCATTCTCTCACAAATATATTTCAGTGGGAAAAGTGTACGTACTTATATATGGGTCATCTGTACATGGGGAACATATAGCACACACACACACACACACAGAGACACAGTTTATGCATCTAAGAAATCAAACCCTGATGCAAAGTTTTTTGTTGGTGTGTGTATTTGTTTTTTCGGTGAGGCAACTAGGGTTAAGTGGCTTGTGAGTGTGATGTGTCTGAGGCTGGATTTGAACTCAAGTCCTCCTGACTCCAGGGCCTGTGTTCTATCCACTGTGCCACCTGGCTGCCCCAGTTTTTGTCTCAAACCAGACCATCATTTCTTGAAGCACAACAGTATTCTATCATATTTATATTATATAACTTGTTCAGCCATTCCCCAGTTTCTGGGTACCCCTTCAGATTTCATTCTTTGCCACCTCACAAACAGCTTATAAATACATTTTTATATCATTAGAATTCATTTTGTTTATGACTATCATTCATTTTATCTAGCCTCCCTCTAATTTTCCCCTTCTCTCACGGTAAGGTCACCTATATCTCCACTAGAGTTTACAGGGGATATTACTCTTTAATAATACTGGCTTAAGTCACTGTTTAGGAATAGTAGCACAGGTCATTCTTTTATAATAGCAGCTCAAGCCATCAGATCAGTGTGTTTCCCCTATTGGTTTACCAAAAGTGTTTAGGAGCCAGGTTTTTTGTTTTTGTTTTGTTTTGTTTTGTTTTTAAACAGTGGAACATCAATTAGCTTTGGAAAGGGATATTTGCTTCAACAGTATAGCAAGAAGAGAAGTTATAAATGCTATGGGTAGACTATGGGCACAGGCAAGGGAGAGATCAGACTTAACATGGATTTGACCCACCGAATTCACTTTACAAATCCATCACTGATAATGGATGGATGTGTTGACATCTCTGCTGCTTTTAAGCAAATCCCAGCATGGACACCATCTTCTAGACTTCCTGTAAGCTGGATCTTCTGAACTTTTAAAACTCACGAGGCCTAGCCATCTCCATTCTCTTTCACCTAAAAGCAGGCAAGAATAGACACAAATTGATGGAAGCAATAGTGAGGCAATGTACTCTTAGCTTTAGTTCATAGCCAGATGGGGACAGGGGCTGAGAGGCCCACAGTAACTGGTCCTCCCCACACACAATCCAGGAAGGAAACAGCCTGATCAAGAGTTTCCTTCTGGATGTCTTTTGAGTATACTCCAGGTCTAGTTCCACAGCCAATTAAAAAGAATCTTCTTCACTCATCACGTTGTTAGAGGACCCATGCCAATTGCAAAATGTCTGTAAACACTCCAGATTACATGGGAAATGCATCAGCAGATCATACTATGCCAGCTCATAAACACTGCTGTCTTTGGCTGCTCTTCCATTACACTCACAACAAATGATTCTAAGATTAAAAAAATTACATGAATATATAAGACAAACCACCATTTCCTAATGGAAAGTCATCAAAGGAATGAATTTACTGGTCTCAAAAGAAAAATTGCAAACCATCAACAACCATGATAAACATTACTTCAAATCGCTAATAAAATTCAAATTAAAAAAATGCTGGGGTTTCACCTCACAGCTAAAAAAAACAGGCAAAGATCACGAAAGGTGAGAATAGGCAGATTTTGGAGAGGCTATGTAAAGATAAGCGCAGTAATATGCTGCTGTTTTACATTCAACATTTTCCATTTGGGAAAATAATTTGGAAGCATACTAAAAAAAAAAAGATTAAAATATCTTACTCTGAAGCATACATTCCCAGGAAATCAAAGACAAAAGGCCCCCTAGAATCTAAATATTTATCGTAACACTTTATACTGCTAGAGGCAACTAGGTGGAAAAGTGGAAGGAGTGCTGGACCTGGTATCAGGAAAATCTGAGTTCAACTCTGGTCTCATATACTTACTAGCTGTGGAATCCTGGTCAAATCACTTAAACTCTGCTTCAGTTTCCTTACTTATAAAATGAGGATAATAGCACCTAACAGGCAGGGTTATTATAGGATCAAATGAGATTTTTATAAAGTGCTTATAAGGTACAATGCAACTTGGCACGTAGTAGATGTTATGTAAATACTTGCTTCCTAAGTTATGTTCCAGCCAATGCAAGTGGTTTCTCATAACTGTTAATCTCAGTAAAGGATTGCTCTTCTTGGTGCTGGCATCTATATGTAGGACAAAAGGCCTGTTTGGGTCCACAGAGGCCAACACTGGCACATGAGTTACTTTATATCTTTCTACTTTTTATTCTCTTCAATCTCCTACTTGTAAGTGAGGTTATTCAGTGATTTAACAGTAGTAGCAGTAACATGGTACTAAACGATGATATTCTCTCATCCTGGGACCTGGCTGTTCTGACTAGGGATGCCACTGCTGTGCACTATACATCTAATTCGAGCTCCAGCCTCACTTCACTTTACTTCCCACAATAGCCTTGACAGACAGAATGCTACAACAGGCAAATCCAGAGCCTACCTCCCCTCCTCCCCTCTACTTTCCCGTTTGGGAAACTCCATCACTGTTCCTTGAAAAGGTACATACATATTCTTTTGTGGCTCGACTCACCAACCCTGCAAATTTCCAAACCAAAATATCTCTTCTTAGTGTAGAGGGCCGGCTTTGGGGAGTTGGAGGGCTTAGGCCAGCCCGGGTCTTACCTACAGCTTGTACTAAGCCTTACAGCTGTGAAACTCCGGATGTCGGCTCACCACCCCCCTGTTCTGTCTCTTGAGAACAGGATGCAGGAAGGGAGGAAACGGATGGGGTACAGGACAGGACGCAGGAAAGAATGTAACAGACAAGGTACAAGGAAGTAAGGAAATCACCTAATTAGATTTGTACTTTTCATGAATAACAATGTTACTATTGCTTGATCCAGTGCTATATAATCCTGAGCCCTCAGATCAATAAACAGAGTTTGTTCTTCACTGCTCTCACCTGGCCCGTGTTTCTTTCTCTCTTCACATTCTGCCAGCATCATACCACAGCTGGGGACGCAGGCGCTCCCGGCATCTTAGCCATTACTGACCGACATGGTTTGTCCCACTATTTGAATGTAAAATTCTCATGGACAAGGATTGTCTTTGATTTCATATTTGTATTTCTAACACTTAACATAAGGACTTGGCAATTGTTCCAAATAAGTCAAGTCTTTTTCAGTCATTCTTTCATGAACAAATTTGTTATAAAACCACCAAATCCTCGAGAAGGCTTACATTGGCCAAGGAAACTTAGGAGTACCTTTTCTTCTCTGCTTAGACCTTGCAAATTTTATGTCAATATTATATGACATGTATTTTGGATAAAGTCTCAGCAGAATGAGAACTTGTCAATTGACCACTTCTACTCAATTCAGATCTTCTATCTCAAGTTAATCTGAAACATTCATTAGTCTCTCCTCATGTTCTGGTGTCATTACAAAAATTTAGGTCACCTAGGAAGACCAACAGATCATAGAATTCTTGTCTCAGATTCCTTTCCCCATTAGGCATTAAAAGACAGTATTGGTCCCTGTGGTCGCCGTTAGCACATGCTCAAATTGGCAGAAATACACCTGAGATGAAAAAAAAACACCATCTTTGTTTTCTCCTGCCATAGGAATCTAATAGTATTCACTTTGCAATCCTAGTACTGTAAACCACTAGCTTCCCAATAGACTATCCAGGGCATCTTGACCTTTTGAAATTATATACTGGTGCCCTTTGTATTTCTTGTTCAAAGTCTGTTGGTGCAAGTCCACTTGTATCTCCCCATTGTTCTTCTGTACCATCTCTATAGATAAGGCACATTGACACTGTGATGATGCCACTGACAAGCAATGTTTTTCGATGATTTTTGACTAATTCCTTCCCAGATAAAGGAATTTTCCTAGGTTATTCCTGGAATGGATAGTGGATAGCGAGTTGGATTTTATGTATATTGCTCTGACTCATCACATAATTTGCCACACCTGTGTTCCTGCTTAGATTCTGCCTCAGTGAAGCCTTCTATTCTTCTGGTAATAAGGAATCACAAAAGTAAAGTCTCTTTCATGAGAGTGAAAAGCCAATGCTTTCTTGATATTCACTGTCCCCACTTGTTTCTATCTTCCTACACTACTCCTGCACAGACTGAATGTATGGTTGGAGTATGCAGGTACTGGGTACAGGCTACTTGTTGGCTAGCTTCTGTGGAACTGGTTCCAGTTAATGCTGACAGTCCCAGTAATATATTTGGTGGATCTTATGGTAGGAAGATTTTTTGTGTATTAGCTTTATGACCACTATTTCATTAAGAAAGCTATATCAACTAGCTAGAGTTGCAAAAAACAAGCTGAGTCTTTACAGCCCTGTTGCTCTCTGGTTAGTTTCTGCTTTGTATAGAATGTCTAACTTGAAAGACTAATGAACTGATTTTTCTGTAAGATAACTCAAATGCATTCAGTTGGATTAATGTCCTTTGCTTGGTAATAAGTTTTGTTTAGAGTCTGTGTTTAAATTCATCATATTGAGTTATCATGCTAATTTTCCCATGGTGCTTTAGAGAAACCATCATAGAAGAAATGTTCGTTTCAGAAAATAACTAGAGCATAACAATTATCTGGATGGCAGAGTGCCCTTCTGGTTAAATACTAATAGGGCTTTTCTAGTTTACTTGGAAATCTCATTGTCATGTAAGAGGCATACCTACATACACACATATGTGCATTACATATTTTGTGAAAAATGATTTTTCTTAGTAATCAGTATCTTGAAGACTCAGAGCTTCCCCCCAGTCCCCTCCCCCTTCCAAAGTTCAGTCTCTTCTTTAGAAGGACCATTATCAATAATGAGATTGCATTGAACCTCCTTATCCTAGGCAGACCCCAACCCAGGCCTGAATTGATTTTATCAAAGGTTTGGAAGCTTTATTGTGTTCTGTTCTGGGTTGGGTGAAGACAAGATTCTTCTGTCCAGGTAGCACAAGGCTGGGAGTGGTCTGGCATGGAAGAGAGGTAGTCCAGAGGTAAAACAATGATGGGATGATATCAGCCCCTGTTGAAAAGGCATAGGTATCTATACTGGATACCCCAACCCCCAAATTGAGCCCAGTCCTAGACTGGGTCCCTTAGGGGGGACTCAGCATAGCCCCACATGCATGCAAACAGCCAGCTTGAGAGAAAATAAACATATAGACAACATAATTCCATTTGTCTTCCTTAGATCAAACTCTGTTTTGGGGTTGACAATGTATACGTATACATACATACATACATACACACACAGAGGCACATATATATGCACATCCTCATGAGGGGATGTGATAAATATGGTGATATGATAATAATATAGAAGTTTTACTTTTATGTTAATTATTAATATTAATTACCAATATATTACTAGAGTTTGTTATAATATATTAATATTAATAATAATTAATATATTAATAATATATTAAATATTATTAATGGGCAAAGCAACAAGATTAGGTTGTTTCCACTTTTAGAAGTAGGAAATAGGTGATTCACTGTCAAATGTTTCATTGGATAAAGGAATGTATTCAAGACTTTTTGTGATGGTTTTAACTGTATTTGTAACCTTAAAATTTTTGCTGTTATGCCAGTGAAAAACAATTGAAAAAGGTCAAGTGATAATAGTGATAAATGATATATTTTAAATTTTATCCTAGAGGTAACGGAGAACTACTGAATATCTTTCAGGTCCATTTGAATATTCACAGATAACTATCTATACAGATGCCTAAATACATAGGTTTTGGATCTATTTTAGCAAAAACTTTAGATTTTTTTTTAGTACATCTCTGGATATGTTTTAGTGATCACTGAAAACACAGCAAGTTGTATTAAAGCTCTCACATACAAAATAGTTTCTTATTCTCAAAAAAAAACTTTTTATGGATGTGGAAGAATTAGGACCTTAATTCATTGTTGGTGGATCTGTGAGCTAATCCAACCATTTTGTAGAGTGATCTGGGAATTATGCCCAAAGAGTTACTAAACTGCCTATATTTTTGACCCAGCAATACTGGGTCTATAAGGTCTTATTTTCCAAAATAATTAGGGAGAAAGGAAAATAACCTATATGTTTTAAATATGTACAGCAGCTCTCTTTGGGGTGGCAAAGAACTGGTTATTGTGGGGCTATGTGTCACTAAAGAATGGCTAAAAACTTGTGGTATATGTTTGTGATGGACTATTACTCTGCTATAAGAAATGATGAGCTTGATGATTTTAGAAAACATGGAAAGACTTGAATGAAATAACGAAGACTGAAATGAGTAGAATCTAGAGGCCATTGTATATAATAACAGCAATATTATTTTGAAAACTTTGAACAACCAAATCATTCTGACTATTATAAATCCTGTGAAGGAAGATGCTTATCTGCATCTAGAGAAAGAACTCTCACACACACACACACACACACACACATACACACACACACACACACACACACACGTTTTCGTCTAATGGTAACCATCTTTAGGCGGGGAGGGAAGGAAAAAAGTTGCATGACACTTTGTTGTATATTTAAAAGGAATAGCAAGTTGCACATAATAGATCTGCAGTTTCAGGTGTAATCCTTTTTTCTTTTTTCTGTTCCACTTTGTTATGGAAATGCTTGTTATATTTCTCAGGTTCAGATTTTCAAGAGTGTGGCAGGAATTATGATTCTTATAATAATTTACATGATATATGTAATGAATATACTAATAGATTAGATTTTTCAGAATTGCCTCTCTTGTGAGAGAGCTCACAATGCAGCTTAAAATGCTCAGTCAAACTTTGACAAGGCTCCTAATCACTGGCATCCTTGTGCCTCAGTACCTGAAGTGAAGCAAATCAAAAATTGTAGAACCTTTTCCTGTCATAGATCTCTGGTC